TTGAGCTCACTTTGTAGCCCAGGCTGCTCTCAAACTTGCAACAATCCTCCTGCCTCAGCCTCTGGAGTGCTGGCAGTATAGGCATGCACCACCACACCCAGCCTGGTCCCTTTTTTTTTTTTTTTAATCTAAATCTACTCTAGATTTGCAAACCAAGTCTTCCATTATTTTCATCAATTTTTTTAACCCATGAGATTATTTCTGTTTTGATATCCTCTATAGCCTCGTGAAAAACATTTTCTGTTTCTCATACTGTGTTTCCAATGAGTTTAGATGGGTAGCTTCTGTTTTGCTCTATCTCATTTTCCTCAGGATTTGTTCTTGGTGGGCTGGGAGTCTGGGATTGCACTTTTCTTCTGCATCCTGTCATTTTCTATTGTTTAATATGGCTGGTTTTCTTTATCAGTGGTATCAAAGTTTCCCTAGGAAATATTTGTGCCTTTGAGCTGTCTTGTAGGTGTAGCTGGCTGTTGGTCTTTGTGACTGTCCCAGGATTCTATCTTCCCACTTTATTAGGGATTATGTCTTTCTATCAATTTGGCTTAGCATCCAGTCTTTGGTACTGAGCTATGGGAACGACTGTGACCTCAGAATATGACAGTGTTATCATACAAGGGTGAACAATGGATTTCAACATTTATGGCATTTTGGCTGAAGTAGTACAATTAGTAATAATAATATTATAAAGCACAGCCTAGAAACTGATACACTGTGGTGACTGCTAATTCGGTATCTCTAACCACAGCAGTAAGATCTATAGTTATATAACTACCTCCAACACAGACCAGGAATTTGTATGCAGTGGATTTCCCCTTTGTAGAGTGATTTTGCCCTATGTAGTAGGGTAATTAAAGAGGGATAGGTGTCAAAGCAGAGAGATAGCTAAAGAGAAATGTAATACAAGCAAGGCTGAAGGACTAAGGGTGTTCACCACAATTTTGAGAAGCTGGAGAAGACAGGAGAGATAGAATGGAGGAGAAAGCAAAAGAATTTTGAGGCTAATCAGACGGAGTAGACACATGTTAATTCACCTGAAAATCTCGGAGAATAAGGACAGACTGATGAGGAAAGAGAAAAGCAAGCCATGGAAAACAAAGCAAACAATACAGGTCAAAACCTACGCAACCCCCTGAACACTTTTTTGGATAGAAAGGAAAAAACACATTATAAAAACATTCCTCTGGTGCCTCCAGTTCAGTATTAGTTCCCTTGTCAAAGCCAGAATCTGTGCTGAATAATTCCACCAAGTCCGCAGTAGGATTACTGCTGAGTGTGGGGCTGACCATGGCCATACTGCCGACTCCTCCTACATGAGCTTTTGGTAGGGCAAGGGGAGTGCCTTTGTCCACAGCTAGCCAAGGCCCTTCTCCTGTTGGTCGCTAGGAAAGTGATGATGCTTTTGTCCAGCCCAAAACTGCTTGCAAGTCACAAGGTGGGGAGGTGGTGGGTGCATTTGTCCCATCACCAGCCAAGGTCTCCTGCCTGCTTGTACCTTTGCACCAAGAACTGGGGGCTGGTTCCCTTGTTCCACTGCTTCTAGCCCTACACACCTAGGGATGAGAGCTTGCTTTTGGCCTTTGCCAGATTGGGGTCTGAGTTCCAGATCCTACTTCCGGTTGGGTTTCCCCATCTGTTGTCCAACTGCCAGCTGTCTCTTGTGACTGGACAGACTTTCCCTCCTCCATTCCTGGAGTGCTGGCACTGAAGCCCCTCGGAGCTGTTCTGCTGCCGGAATTTGAACCCAGGAGCACTTTGAGATAAAATGGCTGCCCCCCCTCCAGCTTCTACTTCCTGTGACTGGGCAACTGGGTGGAGGCAGCACCACTCTGCTTCACTCACCAGGCATGACTGCAGGAGGAGCCTCTCGGGAAAGTGCCCCTGTTGCACAAGACTCTCCCAGTCCAGGTCAGGTCTGCTTCCAACTGCCGGTTCAGTGGGGCCTCTCAGGAAGCAGTGCTCCTCCTTCCAGGGCCTTGTTCCGCCAAAGTGCACAGGCACACACGGATACCTTTGTAACAGTTTCGTCACTGTTTAATTATTTTCACTTTATTGTGACAGTTTACGCCAATTAGAGACACATTAAATGAAAAGACATAAAGATGCCTAAGCAGAAGAAAAAATTTCAATCAGTGAACACAGAATACTGTATGTTAAAAACCTATGATAAGACTATGTTTGGCAGATTAATAGAAAATAAATCAGGCCAGTGCAGCTGGCACATGGTATAAAGGGAAAGGCAGGTGAGAAATAAGGTTGAATTACAGCTAGTGTCAAGGATTGTTAGTACTTAAATGTCTTAAGATTTTAGGACTGTGTTCTAAGTGTGATGCAAAGGAAACATTATTGAAAAGGGGAATGTCATGCTCAGATGTGAATTTTAATATTTGTGCAGAAATAAATTCTAGAGATGAGGGCTTCTGTCTTTCGATAAATTTCAGCAATGAAGAGAATTGTCTGACATGAGTGATAATGGTGGAAATAGAATTATACATAAATCCTCTATTTCATGGCAACGGAACTAAGATTAAGCAATTGCCAGGTGCATGATTTAAAATTAATTATTTAGTACAGGTTCTCTAAACCTCAGTGATATTAAAATTTTCCCCCGGATAGTTGTTAGGGGTGGGCATCACCTTGGGCACCGTAAAAGGTTTAACAGCACCCCTGACCTCTCTGCATGAGAATCTAATAACGTGATGCTAGTTTTGAAATTCATAAACGTTTTCTGGTATTGCCAAATAACTTCTAGGGAATAAAGATTACCTAAATTGAGAAACAGTGGGTTAACATTTTTGTCTTTCATTTTCTATAAATTGTACTAATAACAGTCACTTCTTTATAATAAGGTAAGAAGGTACATTTCCTGGAAACTGACATAATGAAATTTTATGGCCTATGCATTAAATCATATACAATTAAGGGGATATTAAACTAAATAATTTATTGTACTTGTTTTAAACTGACACCACGAAAGAGATACAAATTTGGAGAGAGATGGTGGGAAAGAATCTT